GATTCTCTTTTTGTAATTTAAACCATAAATTACTAAAATAATATAATTTGTTAATTTTATTACGGAATTTAAATTGCGTTTTTATGATATTTTTTTTTTTTTTATCAAGAAACGTAATTATACTCACTTTAAGGTTTGCTTATTAGAGGAAAATTATTAGGCCAATTTTTATTCTGAAAATGTATATTGTTTTGTGCTGTATAATATTTGATTTCCAAAATGTATGTGGTATTCAACTCTCTATAACGATAAATATAATTTTTAAATAGCTATAATTTATTTTAAAAAATATCAACAAATGAATGGCATGTTTTTTTTATAACTCACTAAATAAAATCAATAACTATTTCATTAACAATTATAAGAATAAAAAAACTACCATGTAAACAATTGCATTGTGAATTTATGATATGATTATATGTGTTTGGCGTTTATTATTACCTACTCGATAATCGAAAAAAAATTAAAACCGTATATTAGTATGAATGTATTCCAAAAAATTTAGCGAAATATCAATTGAAATAATCATACTACTTAGATAATTGTTAGAATAAGTTAGTACTCATATATTCTATTTTTCGTTCGCCAATCCGATGTATTTATTACCTATTTTATCAATTATTTTATTATATTTTAATAAAACAAAAACAAATTATAATACAACGTAATTTAAAAAGTATTAATAATAATATTATGTTCTTAAGTCTTATTAAAAAAAAAAATTTTGGCAATATTATTAATCGACGCTTCCTTAAACTATCTAGCTTAGTTTTGAAGTTCCTTCAGAAATCCTTTCACCACAAAATTCTAAAAAAGTAAAATCTGTATTAAAAAAAGCCATAAACAGGTTGTCGCCAACGCCCATGTTAGAAAAAAAGTAACATTTTCCAATTTTTTTTTTTAATCGACGTAAAGATGGCCATTTAAATATTATATAGTATTGCGCAGTTCGAGAAGTCAAAATAAGGTATTTCCTTTTAAAAATCTGAGTAACTTAATCTGAGGTCCTTTAAAAATTGTTTTCAATTCCTTAATAATTTTCTATTATATATATTTTTTCCCTTAAAAAAATGGTTGTTTAAATTAGAAATATTATTTATTGTGTAACTAGTTTATAAAAAAAAAGATTATATGAATTATATTTTGATAACGCTCAAAAATTAACAAAAATATGTGACCCACCGATTGAATATTGGGAATTTGTATTTTCTAATAAATGTTTGTAGGTATGGGTGGGTCTTTAGAATATTATCCTCAGCAATACATATTTATATGAGGATAGCCGCCACTGACTGTTACTGTAGTTTATATAAGATTTTATTTATAGAGTGTTTAATATTTATCAGCAAATAAGAATAACAAATGGTAATTTGTTTAAACTTTATTTTTAATAATAAACATAAGAGCGTAGAACATGCATTTGAATGCTAACCATAATATTGTCAAAGAGAATTTAAAATGTACAAAATATTTAATGATATATTTTACGTATAGTTTAACACAAACTTTGCACTTTAGAGATTGAAACTATTACGAGACTTCTAGAAGTACAAATACACTGCATTTATTTATTAAGATCTTAGACATCTATGTAAAACAAACTAGGTACCGTACATTAGTGTTATACTATAGTTTGGTAAGATATTGGGTTACGTTGTTATAATATTTCACTTTAAAACGATTTAAAATATGAAGGAAAATTGATTTACATTGCAATCAATTAGTAGTTATTCTACCTACATATTGTTATAACAATGTAAAAATGTATTTCGGTAGTATAGTTTCATCCATTTTATCGATTTAAATCTTAAACAATTAGTAGTACCTACGGTTGACTGTTCAACAGACGTCCCAACCATATACACATAAACTTAGCTTATAACGATTAACTATTGAAATGAGAGTTTATTACCTACAATTTACCGAAGTATTCATCACGGACTGAGGTCAAACTTTTAGAAATATAACAATGATATGGACGATATATAATGTGGTTGATTATTGTCTGAGGAATTGAGCACATCTTTTATTTTACAAAGTAGGCAATGGCAATGTGTTATAGTGCACTGTTATAGCAGACAACTGTTTTTGTACTCGATATTTGTAAAAGGGCACGTCATGTTTGGATCAAGCTCTGTCATTACATGTCTATGTTTGTACAATCGTTTAATATTAATCGTTGTACCTAGCTGCAATTGAGATCGAGTTACGTCTTGTGCGCTACTTAATGCCGATGGTAACAAGTTAATATTTATTCTGTTTGATAAACGCTGCAGAACATTAAATATTGAACTAACTTTACTGCTTTTAAACAGCTAGCGGCCCAATCGTCCCACTGTTTTACAAAAAAAAATAAATAAAAAAAAAATCGGCTTAAAGAATAATTATAAAAACTATAGCGTACCTACTAAAAGTTTTAAAAATAACTATTTACTAACGAATAACCTTAACATGTTATATAAAATATTATATTTTACAACGTAAAAATTATACTTCAAATGAATAACGTATAATTCACTTTGGTCTTTACACCGATAGCATCTGGTTCATCAATCATCAACAAAGAAGACATTTTCACCGAATTCAGTTTTTGTTTGAAATCAATGGCATCCAATAAAATATAATATCTCTTTCTTTATCGACATTAGCATGAATGTTTCAAGGCGGTCTTGATTTAAAGAAGGTCTTAAACAATTTTTAATTATTTTAAACTTGCTTTCACAGTGAATACTTGTGTATATATAATAATATAGAGCGTTAAAACAAATTCAATCTGAAGCCTGCAACAGTTACGATATGCCGGCGAATGCTTATTTAATTGGTATATTGATTTCTGCAGACATATTATAAGCGTCATTTTCTACTATGATTACTACTGGTAGTTTTTGATTTTCCGCACCCTATAAAAAAGACATAAGGTACGTTTTCCATGCAGCATCTGAACGCGGAGCCTATAGCCGATTGAAGCCGCAGGGAAACCGTACCTGAAATAAACACATTTTTCACTAAATATTTCATACATGAGTACACGACAGTACGACGGAAAAATCAGAAACACAGGAATAAGAAAGAAATTCGTATAATCGTATAGCTAAATATAAAAACTATTTTAGGCTAATATATTATTATGTAATATACGTTTCCCCGGATCCACGTCATTCCTCGATAATATATAATATATTAAATAGACTAGAAAATAGGTATTACATAATAAAATGTAATAATATATATATTATGTCCGTACGTAATACGCAGGGAATCAAACTATAATCAAATTAAATATTTGAATCTAATATAATATTAAAATGGTAATTATTGGTACATAATATTATATCTGTCTATAAAAATATTTTTATTGCAACAAGACATGTAGGGTTACAGCTTACAGGTCCACTGCGCAGACGCATAGTAGCACTGCAGTGGTCCAATCCACTCCTGCTTGTAACTTCAAAAGCTACACATGATATAATATATAATTGATTAGAAACAGTGAAATACTTGATTGAATTTCTATATTTGTGCATAGATACTGAATAGTAACGTTATTGAATATCCAATATATTTTACCAACGGTATGGAATTTACATTATGCACTTTATAGTATAAATACAATTTAACGTCTTTGTACATGCAGTTTGATCTACCTACCAAAAACCATTTATTTTCGATATTCATCAGAGTTAACCCACGGGGGATGGGGGTATACCAAATAGATAAGAGAAAGGGCTCGTAGATTGTTTCAAATTTGATATGTAGGTACGTGCTCAGTATAACTTTTAGTTTTTACCTTTTCTATTTTAAACACACATCAGTACCATGCACGTAAAAGTTTAAGAGTCTAAACATTTTACTCGAAAATAAAAGTTATTCTTCTGTGTTTACACAACAACAACTACCTACTTTCGTATTAGATTCAAGCACACCTTATGTCATAATTACGTAGGTATGTACCTGCCTACCTAATATATTATTATCATATCACGACGTGTTAATTATTCGTTTACGTGTTCATTTATTTTAGCAATATTATTATCAACAATACCTAGGTACCTATTGTATAAAAAACTATAATATCTAATAAGTTATATAAGACTGTTATTATTAAATTGTTAGTGTTGACCAATGTTTATTGCTTTTTCTAAGAGGTCCATACTAACTTTGAGTGCCTACATATACCTATGATTTTTAATCGTTACAAACATAAGCATTGATTCAAGATGATCTTAAATTACTGTCTTGACTAACCGAAAAGTATAATCGTGTAAAACAAAAAAAAATGATAACGTTTATATATTATAATACAATATACAAATAATGATAATATATGATATATAAGGCTACCACGAATAACCATATAGTATATTATAAGAAGTAGGTATTATAAAGCTAACCTAACTTATGGTATCGAAAAACAATTGGTTTTATTTTATTTTATCGATGTTAATATATCAATTAATGATAATTGGTTTTCTAGTACATACTAAAATGAAAAAAAAATAATACTAAAATTTAAATTTGTATCATAAAGTATTACCCATATAAAAACACTTGTAATTATTAATACAATGCTTACAAGTAGGAGGTATTTGAAAAATTAACTATGAAAGTGAATAAACATAAATCTTGACGATTCTATTAATTGAGAAGAAATATTACTCTCCATTAATTAGCACAACATGCGAATAATAATTAAAAATTTCACCAAAAAACGTCGAAGGCTTACATTTTATAATTTTCAGGTATAGGCACTTATCTAGGTTCTAGATTCTAGTTTCTTTAAACGGGTTAAAAGTGTCAAGTTGGTACATAACATTGTTTTGTTAAATTACGAAAAGTTTTGAGAACACGCACTTGTGCAAACTTACGGGAACTGTGTTTAATTAATCTGGCACGAATCGCAAACATTACTGAAAAACACGTATCACTTACAAATACTTGCCGATCAGTAGGGAAACCGTCCACACATATCTACTTCGACAATAGTTTTTTTTACGTCAAAAATGTTGTTTATTATAAATTTTGTACTACTGGCGTCGGCGTTGACCTCGTCCTCGGTGCTCGGAGGTCCGTCCGGCCCGACATCGAGACAGATGACGTACGCAAAAGAGACCAAAACCGTAATGCGATCAGATGAAACGGCGCAGGTGTTGGCCGTCGGCGACCGATCGTCCAACCTGAAATACGTGATGGCGATCCAGAAGTCGACGATTTGGGATGAGATCAAGAAACGTTCGTTGACGATAAACACGTCACAAGGATTGGACGACGAGGTCGCCGGAAAATCGCCGGACGACCTGACGGACCAAGAACTGGCGCAGCTCAAGCAAGCGTGCCACGACGGGCTCAAGTGCGTGGCCGTCGACCAGCTTTTGGTGCTCAAACAGGTCAAAGAACAGCTTGGCGACGGCCAAGTGTCCGTGCGCACGGCCATCACCAAGATCACCCAGGTGCTCACCCAATACACGACCGAGATCCACGAGGACGTTTACCAGTACGAGGCGGTCCAAAAGTCCGACGATCAGTCCAAAGTGTACGAGTCGGTGACCACAATAGTGGAGGACAACAAGGAACTGTGTCGGGTCAAACTCGCGCCGGAGACAGCGCAAAGCCACCAGAAAAACGATGACGGTAATACTACGCCCGCGGCCGTCAACAACAACAATACCGTAAACTACAATACATTTAAGAACTACAACATCAACAACGGCACCGTCAACAGTGCCACCATCAACATCGAACCGCATTCAGGCGATTCCGTTGACGGCGATCGGTCCGAGCACGAAACGCCGCTGGTCAATAGCGATGAGCATGGAGCGACCACAGACGAACGCGCCAGACCAAACCTCTCACGGGGCAGCCGGACAGCCAGCCGACCGGTCACGACCACCGAAGATCAACCCGAGTACACCAATACCCCAGTACAGGTTTTAGACGATCGCCGTAAACCCATGCTGATGATCACCGACGGGCCATCACCGCGGGACGGTGATGGTGACGAATCCGCCTCCGACATCGATACCGAAAACAGCGGTGGCCAACGAAGATATCGACGGCCGAGTCTCGACGGAACCGGTCGGAAAAACGGTGCCGACGAGCCGGCCGCTAACAACAAAATAGTTTCAAGCCGTTCAAGCGGAAACGATGCCTCCGACCGCATCGGTAATACAGCTGCGGATGGCGTCGATAACAACACCGTAGAACTGGACAACAGTTCGGGCAGTAAAGCCGGCGGGGAAAACGACTCTGACAGTGATATCGTCAGCGCAGGTTCTCACAACACACATAGCTCGAGGAAAGGCTTGGTCGAAGACGGATTTTTGAACAACGGCAACATGAAAGTCAGTAACGTCGACAATAGTAACCGGAACAAAGGTACACTGAAAGGCGCCAAAGCTAATAATGGTATCATCAACGTCGGAACGACCAACAATGGTCCGGTTAACTACGGTACGGCTAAGGCTTACACCAACAACGGAACCACTTTGCACATGGACACCCACGACATCCGCCAGTATGTGGACAACATCGATAAAATGTATTCCACGATATTAAACGAGTTCGCTAAAAACTAACTAATTATTTTCATGTGGTTTGTGTAACATTATTAATTTATCAATCGTTTAGTTTTAATTATTAATTCTAATGTCAGACCATATTATTGTGTTTTATTGCAAAAGATTATTTATTTTTATTTTATTTATATCATTGTGGATTTTGGGTTTGTGTTAATAAATGATTTATCTTAATATTTAAATTATTGTTCTATGTATTATATTGATTTTCTTAAGCTGCAAATCATTTTTCTAGTCTCAACTCAATATTTCATAAAATAGGATATATTAAGGTTTTTAGTTTTTACATATTTTTGTTATAAACATTGAATGTTAGTTGCAGGCACGTCGTAGTCAGTGGCCCCAAACTGGCCCCCTTGATTTTTATTTTTAAATATTATGGTGTTTAATTATCCCAAACCGGCTAAATCCTGAATTTATATTGTACGGTACTCCTTATAGTTAACGATCGTACAACAAAAATTAAATTCCGAGATTCTCTTTTATAATTATTCGTCACTTGACAATTTGATATAAGACAATAATACGTATATTAAAAGAACGAAAACTAGGAATTACAAGTACGGGTATCGAACGCACATTTGATAAACACAACTACAGACAATACTATATAATAGTGAACTAATTACCAATATAATAAAATAAACAATCCTAACAAAACAATACGTCAAAATATATTATTATATTCTCTATCGAGTTTGAGTATTGATCATGCAGCGTATAGTTCATATTGTTCACCAGTCACAAGTGTAAGAAAAAATAAATAATGAAGAGAACTTTAATAAGTTACTTTAATAAATCAAACAACTTAAGAACCCAGAAAGGTGAGTACAATAATTACATACATACTTTCGATACATTTTATCTACCCGAGTCTTATTTACCTACATTTTATATTTACTGATTATTGTAGTTATTTCTTAATTAGTTAATAATATATTAATGTAATTTTGGATATTCTAGCATTAAATAGGTTGTAGGTAGATATTATATTGATCTGCATAAATTAATATTAATGGATGAATATTAGCCATTAGATACTACATATTTTTTTATTTTTTAAGACATTTTATGCTATAATATTGTTGATGAAGTTAAATACCTGTTTTATTTATTTTTATTGTTAAAATGATAATTATTTAATATTGTTTTAGACTTTAGTGCATTATAATTTGCACACTATTAATCTCAACACTATCTGTACTATCTAACTATCTGTATAAAGTATAATAATATAATATATTATATTATAACATCGGAGGTATTAATGTATATATTTCTGGACCATAAAAATAGACGACTTGTCCTTATATAGTTGCTTAAGATTTATTTTGTATATTTATATTAAAATATAATAAAAATATAATGCTTAATCAATACAGACAATATATTGTGAAATGTAGTATTATTTTTTATGGATATTGTCTGATAAGGAGAGTAGTGGTATTTTGTGAAAAAACAGAAAGGGGCCAAACAATTTTGGCCCCGTTTGTAACGATGCAGAATTGCTATTATAATTAAATATAACGGAATATGTGTCGCCATCTATACACGCGCCAACACGCGAACCCAAACTATTAAACACGCGCCGCCGTAACGATAGGAATACCTACTTATGCTACCAACTTGTCACTGTAACGACTTATTCAAGCACATTGAACGATATAAGTTAAAGCTATACAACGCTCTTAACACGCCAAGCATATAAAGAAGTACCAAAGAAGTTGAATTAAGAAGAAAACACGTATTACATCCAGAAAACCGATGACGCAATGACGCCGCATAGAGTGCGCGCCGTTACGCAGGTTTTCCGACCGTCAACACTTCTAGCGACTTTATGGAAAACCACCACGACAGCCCGTAAAACTGTTACAACCATCATCTTCCCCAGAAGATTACACCCTAATTACATGTAGCCGCCCATAGGGTAGAGAGTCTACAACATACAGTAACACAATGAAAGCAACTACCTACTTTCACCTATACAACACACCGCCCGTAGTGCAAACAGGGCATAAATATGAGCCAGCACGGTCAATGGAAGCACACAGTTCACTCAACTCACTCAGTTCACCAGTTTTACAGTTTCAACACATCAAATCGCACGCCGTTTCAACTTACCGCCTTTCTTAGTGTGTAACTTCAAACCGCCTTCTCCCGCAAAGCCCTCTCCCTATACTCGCAGTGTGAGTGGTGGTACGCCTCAAAACGTACTGTTCAAGCCACTCACACTTAACAGTAGACGGAGAGGAAGATTCCCCCAACACTCTCGCTAGGTATCGGTGGTGGTACGCCTCAAAACGTACTGTTCAAGCCCCCGGTACCCAGTTGCAGTAGTCGTTGTTTGTCCCCGTTGCCGCCGCCGCCACGACGAGCGCGCCGCCGCGACCGGTAGACTCGCTTACCGTCCCATCGCGTGTTACGATCTTCGTTACGCCGAGCGCCGTTATCACGCCGCGTGTCGTATTGTTATCGCCGCCGCCACTACGAGCGCGCCGTTGTGATTTCGTATCAGTCCGTTGCCGTATCACCGTTGTTGTTGTCGTCGTTCACGTATCGCAGACGTATTGACGGTACGCACGACAACCAACGCATGATACCAAAGTGATACATATCAATATCATCAACCACGTTGGAACCAGTCGAAGAGAGTGCAGTACCTATACCTGAGGACGAGTCAAGCCACCGCCCGGGAACATTTTTGTATCGTTGTCATCCAGCACCACCGATAGAGTAGGCTGCCATTGGACACAACATACACGTATTCTATCTCTTGCTTTCACGGTCCACGTGAGTCTTTAAATATTGTAATTTATCATCTCACATTTAAATAAAAACCATATCTGTAGCTCGACAGAGCATATGTATGTTAAAAGAAAATACTGTAAAACAAAACTGAATAAATTAATTATTTGAACTGAAATAAAATATCTGTAGCTCAACAGAGCATGTGTAAATGAAAAGAATATATTGTAACACAATTAAATAAATTTGACAATTCTTTTCAAAATGCAAGAATAAAAAACACTATATATCAAACAAAAACAATCGGTGTTTTGCATTCTTACAATTGGCGCCCAACTACAGGACTCGAAGAAAAGAGACCCCTACATCATTAAAAAATAAAGAAGAAACCTACTTCGTGTCAGAACCTACATCATTTCAAAAAAAAAAAAAAAAAAAAAAATGGCACCAAGAAAAGATACAATTGGTAGAGAAGAGTTCGACGCTCTCAAAAGAGAAATTGAACAACACAGTCAGAGCTTAGTCAACCAACTAAGACAACAAATTGCAGATAATGAAGAAAAATGTTTACAGAAAATTGCAGACAATGAAGAAAAATATCAAAGAAAAATCACCGAACTAGAAGACGAATTGAACGAAATTAAATTTAATTATAATAATCTAAATAAAAAACAAACATATACAAATGCTTCAAGACCAGAACCAAGTCACATCAGTGAAATGACACGTCCATCATTTTATGGAAGCAACCGTGACATGCATCCCGTTGACTTTCTACACCGTCTAGACGAATATTTTGCAATTAAACAATTATATGTAGGAGAAAAAATAATCGTGGTGGGAGATTGCCTGAAAGCAACCGCACTCAACTGGTTTTCGACCATACGATTTCAATTAAGGGATTATGATGATTTTCGAAAAGCATTTATTGATGAATATTGGTCAAGAGAAATCCAAATCCAAGTATGGAGTCAGTGCCTCAGCATTACACACATACCTCAAAATACCAATTTTCGGGAACACTTCGCAACATGGGCCACCAAGCTAAGGCACCTAGAAGTACCTCACCTGTCAGAGCCGGAAATAGTCAAGCATATTGCAAAGCACTACCCAGGCTATCTAAGAGCCATCCTGGTATCGATGCCAGAACAAACAATATTGTCAGCAATGAAAATATTAGGCGAAGAAGGACAAAATCAACCTCATAAAGATGACACCCATCATCAAAACAAGAACCAACACGAGAACAATCGTCCGAACAATAATCAAGAGGGACAAACGACACAACATAATTGGAGTCACAGGCCCCACAACCGAAACAACAATTACCAACAAAACAATCGATGGAATAATCGACAAAACAATCAAAACACACCAAGAGAAAACAATCAGCAAATTAATCAAGTTACCACAAGCAATGAGAGTGATGAGCCAGAACAAACTATCAATCAAATGGAGGGAAATGGTGAGTCATTCAGTCCATACATACAATGCCTCATTGAGGGAGAAGAAATTGAAGTACTGGTAGACACCGGAGCAACAATCAGCGTGTTAACCAAAGAAGTGGTTGATACAATAATTAAGAAAAATCCACGAATACCACAGCTACCTGTCACCGGAGTTAAGATAAGTAATGCTGTCGGCAAACAAATATGCAAAACCTCAAGACAAGTGTTCTGTCAGTGTCAATTCAAAGAAGCCACTATAGTGTCTAATTTCATACAAGTCGAGGGACTTAATGAAAGGGGCATTATTGGGTCAGATATACTAAATAAATACAACATGCGAATTGACTTTGACAATCACACGATCAGAATGAAAATATCAGGACAAATCTACTTCATCCCGTTTTCAAAAAAATTACCAAAAATTACTGCACCACAGGGAAGCTTAAAAGATATGACCATCAATGAGTGCGACGAAGAAAAAAAAGATCAAGTAGCAATCAATGATGAAGAAAGTGAACAATTCGATACACTCATGAACCAATACGCACACATTTTTTCCGACCGTCCCGGGAAAATCACTGCATTCGAATGTCAAATTCGAACAACAGAGGGGACACCCATTTACCAAAAACCATACCCCATTCCAGTATCAAAAAGTAATCGCATCGACCAAGAAATACAACGAATGCTAGAACTTGATATTATCGAAACGTCTACATCACCATGGTCATCTCCAATGGTAGGAATTGAGAAGAAAAATGGTGATATTCGAATATGTATCGACGCAAGGAAAATAAACACTCGCAT